TATTTTGTTTCATATATTTTTAAATATATAACATAAACAATTTTTTATCTCAATGGTACTGACCTGCACTTTTAAATATTGAAAGATCTTCAATAAGCAAAATATCCTGCTGACACATTCAAACAGAAATGTTGAACAAATGGTGCATGTGGACAGAGTACCTGTTTATCAGAATCTGTCGATTTTTGTTCATCCTCAGAATTCGAAGTGCCTTATTTGAAGACCTTTCTGGATCCGCAGAGGGTCCAGTCTCATGCGTACCTTTTTCTTTGAAGAATTTTCATCCGCAGATGTATTACTGAAAATTTGATACAAAAATATAACAAACATTGAAATTAGCAAATTTAAACATCATACTTTCATAAATATGCTCGAGTTATTTAAAGTAGTTATAAAAAAACTTAATCTACTCATATGTTTATACAAATATATTATATTTACACTATATGAAGGGTCCATACTTTTATCCAAATCAGAGGATGGGATGAAGATAGGATTATTGGAAATTTTTAACATATGGCAATCCATCTGCAAATAAAACAAAATTAGTATATTCTCGATATATAATAAAATAAAAGTAATTTAAAGCAGAGTGTTAATAAGGATTAGCACATCTTAAGGGCCAGTTAAATGAATATATTTAAATCTAATAAATTTAAATTGTATCAAATAATATAACAATAATGATGTTAGAACAAAGAATATAAGTGGAGGTTAATAATATAATAATTGGTATTTTTGAATTTAGAACTTGTTAAATCAAGAAACAAATTCATATAATGACAAACATCAACTTCGAAACTCCATTGATATAAATTATAACAGAGGAATGCCATTGTTAATATGCACTATATTACAAATAAATATTTATAAGCTCCTGATATATCTTGTGTGGCTAATATTTGGATAAAAGTTTGACAAATTTCAGCAAGTTTTATTTAACTGGCCCTCACTTAAAATATACTTTGCAAATATCACTATAAAATAGAACAAAATCTAAAAAAAAATTAACCTATATCAATATCATAAATAATAATGAATATTCTAAGCATAGTTTTTGCAAAACCGCCACAATGAACCTTAAAGACTATTTCATAAATTACTATAACTTTATATTATTTGAATCATGTATGTAAAAATATAACTCACTCAGTGTGACTAAAACCACAATCATCTACGGAGGCATTCCCATTATTGTTAAGCAATTAGAGGGAATATTATTATCAGGTATTGGATTTGGAACATTATCTGAATTCACCACCTTAGAAATATTTGTTATGGGATCTTTTTATTTGATGTGGAATGTTTAATTTGATGAGGA